GCTGCCTAATAAGGGCTTAGCTCTCCTGACCTATTTTGACTCAACAGTCTGAAAAGGCAGCATGCATTTGGGGAGGCTGACATGGCACAGTTCGTTACCCATTTGGAAAGCAGTTGACTGCGTGGGAAGAAGTCACAGTTGTCAGAACAGCTCGCCTCTCAATCATGGATGTGAGAAGGCTTTTGCTCGCCAAGCAGAGTTCCATCATGCGCTTGTGTTGTAATTCTTCTTGACGGATAACAGCATGTCGGACGATTCGTTCGGAGTGTTCCGTAGAGCGGGGAAGCGGCTTCCTTCACCCAGGTTGGGTACGGAGGTGAGAGTTGTGTGACTGGCATTGTACGCTATCTTCAACTGCATCTGAAACGGGTGAAGAGGGAAGTGTAAGGAGATTACATCTCTGTGCAGTCCCTGCTGCCCGCCACCTCTCACTGCACCTATTATACATGCACCTAGATACATGTGCCATGCCAGTCCAGTTGGTAATGCAAATGTATCAAGTAACTGACCTAGACATGCTTCTCCCTCAGATGTGTTCTTTTTTGGACCAAGTGTTGCACGGTTGGACACACTTTACAGAACACTAGCAAAAAACTCATTCAACTAGGGTGACCATACGTCCTCTTTTTCCACAATGCATCCTCTTTTTGGGACCTAAAAAAACATGTCCAGCCAGAGGTTCCTAAGTTGGCGAAAACAGGGGTGTCCAAAGTCCAGTCCCCGGGTTTGGAATGTTCCGTAGAGCGGGGAAGCGGCTTCCTTCCCCAGGTTGGGTACGGAGGTGAGAGTTGTGTGACTGGCATTGTACGCTATCTTCAACTGCATCTGAAATGGGTGAAGAGGGAAGTGTAAGGAGATTACAAGAGGCAGCCGGGAGATGGAGGAGCACGGCAAAACTGAAGTTTGTCCCGAACGCTAGCACTTCCTGTGACTTGCCTTGTGAGAGTATCTCAGTATCTCCCCCTGCTATGCTAAACGAATTAGCAAGGCTAATTACTCTTGTTAACATCTGCAGCTAGCATGCTGTTATGAGAACCTCGGCGGAGATTGCGCAGTGCTGGAGATGGATGTGTTACTGTCCACGGTTCAGCGGGAAAAAAACATTCTAAATGGGCGAAACAGCGTCGTGCCTCAAGGCGAGGAGGCCACTGATGTGGGGAGAATCGGCTGAACTTCTTGCGAGCCCTGAGTGCCAGCGCATTAGCGCTGGGCCTCTGTGAAGAATGCTTGTCGCAGGCCAGATCAGAATGATACTCCACATCCCCTTAAATGGAGTCTTTCATTCTAATCATGTCTCATCAGCTGGCGAGAGCGATGGCGTCGCTGAGAGATTTCAAGCTCGCTATACATTTTTCCAAAGCCTCTGGTAATAGCACACGGAATACTGATAGCACTTCCGGCCTTCATTAGGCTGTTGAAAGACAAGCTCTGATTCGGCAGAACTTCTGCTCTCTTCCATCTGATAGCTGTGGGTCTGTGGCTCCCGAGCGTGATCCACGGCTGCGGCTGTGCCGGTCCCCCCGCTGCGCAAGGCGTCATGCTGCTCTATCCTCTGCCTTTCCCCATTCTGGGCTGAGAGCAGAAGCCTGCTGAGTGATTAGCTGTGTGCCCCTGCTGCCCGCTGTGCCTCTACGTCGTCTCCTCCGTCCCTCGGGGCTCCTTTCATCCCTGTGCAGTCCCTGCTGCCCGCCACCACTCACTGCACCTATTATACATGTACCTAGGTACATGTGCCGTGCCAGTCCAGTTGGTAATGCAAATGTAACAAGTAACTGACCTAGACATGCTTCTCCCTCAGATGTGTTCTTTTATGGACCAACTGTTGGACGGTTGGACACACTTTACAGAACACTAGCAAAAAACTCATTCAACTAGGGTGACCATACGCCCTCTTTTTCCACAATGCGTCCTCTTTTTGGGACCTAAAAAACATGTCCAGCCAGAGGTTTCTAAGCTGGCAAAAACAGGGGTGTCCAAAGTCCAGCCCCGGGGCCAAAGGCGATCTGTGGACAGATTTTAATTGGCCCATGGTTTCTCATTATATGTGGCCTGTCAGCCAGTACGTTGCAGTTTTTCTTTCATCTGTCGGCGGTAGCAGTAGCGTAAACTTACAGCTTGTTGCACCATGCTGTATTAACAAAGTCGCCTAAAGTGTAAGAGCCTTTTGTTTGTGAGTAGACCTGCAAATTAATTTACTGACTGCCATTTAGTCATGTCTGCAGCCAGAAAGCACAAAGTTAACAGTCAGAACGGTCAATTTTGGAGGTGGAAATCAGAATACTTTTTCATTAAGAACCAAAGTGATTGCTCGTGCCTCATGTGACTTAATACCAAAACACATTATGAAAAATTACAATAAATATTCAGAGGACGAGACGGCAGAGACACTGAAGTAGCACAAATCTACCCTCCTCTTGCAGCAGCAACTTCTTATTAAGCAAATTCATTAAGTTAAATACATATTGCAAAATTATGGCAATTTCTCTTCTCCATTAATCCTACTGCTGTTGTTGCATTTATTTGATATGTAAATAATATTAATAAATAACAGCCAAAATGTCTTACAAAGGAAAAAATCTTATCCATCCAACAATAAAGGCAGCTTTGCGCAACTTTTCTTTAGTGATAGAAACACAGAAATATGTTTTACTGATGGTCAGCGCTGATGTGTATGGCCTGTAACTCCTCTGGTGCATGTGCAGTCATGTCACTGGCTTCCAACTCACTGTGGGGGCGGGTGCTTGCGCCTTTAAGAGGAGAGTTACTTTGCTTTTGGCAGTGAGTGACCGGTGCCCAGTCTGGACACCCCAGGGCTAAAATGTCTGGGATTTGGCTTTGCCTTCATGTTGACTCTCTACAGCATGCCTTGTGCCACCCACCTGCCTCCGGTGTGGTCTTTGTTGAAAACCAGAATGGTCACCCTAATTCAACTTAACAAGAAAACATAGTTCAAACTCTGCTTTTGTCAAAATATGAAAATTAGGAGTCTGTTATTAATTTCAAATGCAATTAAAGGGTGAATTGAATTTTTGCAAAACGTATCCTGCCTTGCAACAGTTGCTACAACAGAAGGTATTTGTGAGTGGAGCATGGACAGGTCAGGTGTATAATTAGGTGGGACAGGCTTTTTTGAAAAAAATATCTATCTAACGGAGAGCAGTCAGGGTTAATAACAGTGTGTACTGAGGACGGGTGATACCACTGATTTTCTTTTTGATCTGATATTGAATAATACAAAGGCTAACAACCTCATTTTGTGAATATCAGTAAAAATATATATATATATATATATATATAATATATATATATATATATATATATATATATATTTCAATGCCTTTGCAGTAGCCCTAAAGGGAATTCCACCAGTGTTTTAAAGTTTCTGCATATTTCAGTCACTGAGATGTGAACAAAGCCATTCAGAGTGGTTTGATGTGGAGTGGCTCTTTGTGGAGAAACTTGCCTTGACTCAGATTTCTTTACAGTGTTAATATAAACCAGGGCTTGTGATGTTTACAGCATTAATGTAGCCATTTTATTTATTTTCCAAAACAAATAGTGAACCTACATGTCATTTGGGTTTTATATGTAATGTTAAGTAATGGTGAAATAATAATAAATCCAAAAAAAGTACATTTTAGGCCAAAATCATATCTCAAAACTACTGTAAAACAATGTGTCATGCATCGAGCAGCGTATTCATAAGCATTTCATGTGAAGGAGCTTCTAGAGGCATTAAACTCTTTAGCTATCTGATTCCTATCACCACCACCAACATCAAACCAATCTGAATGACTTTGTTTACATCTCAACCTTTTACTTATGAAGAAATTTTGAAAAAAAAACCCAAAACAAACAATGGAATTCGAGTTTAATTAAAATGTCTTGTCTATGTATGTGTGGTTGCAGAGGCAAGCAGACAAAGCCCACAGACATCACTATAGTGAGGGTGATGAGACCACCAACTAGCCATCTTCATTATAGTTAAACTGTTGGAAAATGACCCACCACATTCACCAAAATGAGAGGAAAAAAACATTTAAATTTAATGCAACACACAATTTCATACCAAACAGATCAGAACAGACAGCATACCATGGCGAGTAAAGGCTACTTAGCCCTATCTTATACTACCTTATACAGCACAGTTTAAATGTCCGGGGCGAATGGTTGACGACTAAGGTTTTCTTCACCATGGTGAGTTACTACTACTTGCTAGTAAAGGAATTAGTTCATAGGAACTAGCAGAGCTCCACTAAGTTCTCACCAACAGGAGAAACAGTGGAGCAGGTTAAAGCTGTGTTTACAAGGATTGTTTTTTTTGTGTTTTTGCATGACCAGCCACAGCATGCAGCTGTGTAAACGTTTCTATGGTGATAACAACGGCCAATAATTTGTGATTTCCTAAGCAAAGCTTTGTTAGTCTCTTTTTTTTTTTGTTAAGGTGGAAAAAAGTCAGCAGGATGCAAGAATTCAGCGCCTTTGTACATGACGACCTTACATTTTCTGATATTTTCTTTGGCATCGAAGAACATTTTCAATACTTAAAAATCTGATGGAGCCCTGGCTTCCAAGTAGTACATCCTAGGCCTCCCAGCCCCCCCACTCCCCCATAGCTACATCCCTGGCCTGCATGTGCTTATTCATCAACCTACTATTGTAAAGTTGTGCTTCTTAAGAAATTATGAATTATGCAGAAATTTTGGGTGTTAAGTGATTATAATAACCTAATATTACATCTGTCACTATATGTCTGGATAACTCGTGTTTCTATTCTATGCATTTTGTGTTAGTCTTTTTTTTACTTTCATTTTAACATCGAACAACAGTTTCATTAAAACAAATATGACGTTTTATTACTAGTTAAAGAAAACAATTCACACAAATATCTTATATCTTAAGTATTGATAGTTCAATATCGATCCACCCCTCTGTGAATTAGTCAAAGTTGAACAAATCCTAAAAAATCTGAACATTTTCTGCTTTTTTATTCATCACAGTGACAAAAGATTCTCAGCTTTGGGCTTCGGGGCGAGAATTCCACCCAATTATGAGGTAAGGGTGTCTCTCCGTTCATTGGGATTCGTCTGTCGTCTTTTGCTTTAGCCTTTGCTCCCAATGTTCTTTCCAATCCTCTGACCTTGATGAAGCGCTCCTCTATTGGTATTTGATTTGTGTGAGAGGCCATATCTTCCATCTCTGTATTTACCAGTATATGGAGTCTACATATATACAGACCTGATTTTCATGCCACAGCCACCCTCATTCACCATGCCTCCCTCAAATAACAAATGGAGTGCATTTCTATTCACAGCTTCTTCCTCCCTTGATATTCCAACCTTGTTGGGAAAAAAAGCTGAAAAAAGGCTGAGGGAGTTAAAATAATGGCTGGATGCTTAGGCCACTCCTGTTGTTGACCGTGTGAGGTTGCGGGACTTCATTTCCCACAAGCACATTTGTTTAGGCAGATTGGACTTTGAGTATGGAGAGCAGGCATTCATTTTAACTAGCACCCTGGGGGAAGGGTCTGAAGAGCAAGGAGATGAGGGTAACGCCTTGGATACGGCGCATTTATACCCAATCAGAAGTGGATAAAATAGAAAATAAATAAATAAAACAAAACAAAATAAAAAAAAACACTGAAAATACAGTCAATTTGACCCGTGCATCATACCAAGTTTCGCTATTGTTGCGACTTCTAATAGAGATGCTGAGAGCAGGAATGTAGTTTTATATTACAGGCCTTTTTTCTTGCACAGGGTTGCAGAAAGTCATGTTTTTAAGCATTCAGACAAGCCGAACAAGCACTGCATTGTGTTGTTGCCTGCTGCTGTTTTCCGAGCCTTTCTGTTAACTGAAACTATGACCTTCAAATCTGTAGTGGAAAATGATGTCTCTTTGAAACTTCCAGTAGCGCTGGCACTGAAAGAGGTAGACTATGTCTGAATGTAATGCATTCATCTGCACTGCTCTTTGGAGTTCAACCACGTTTTCTCTCCCCATTTAGGTGTCGCATGACTTTGCCATCAACTTTAATCCAGATGATGATGAATGTGAAGGTAAGAGGCTTTATCAGTCATCTCCCTCAGAGGAAAATTCACATGAACATGAACACACAGCTTTGCCTGATGCATCATAAATAATTAAGGGCCATATCCTACAATTTTTTACCACCTATAAGATCCACTTATAAGGTTTGTGTGTTTTTATGAACTAAACACAGTGATAATTAATTTTTTCCTGACCATTTTCCAATCTCTCTTCATTATTTAGAATTAAACAAGCTGTTGTTATGAGTGCAGATTTAAAAAACGAGCCCTGTTTTGATTGATGGCCCTGTATTGAGCCTCATTCAAAGAGCAGTCTGGGCTAAAAACCCCTTATAGCTTCGGTGAGAATGGTAGTGTTGAAGTACGGGAGTCTAGTCTTGTCTCGGTCTCAGGGTACGGTGGACTCGAGGCCAGCCGAGTGCAATGCCTCTGGCTGAGGTAATTAAACTGGGCTTTTTTCTTTCATTACTGAACAACAAAAATTGGTTCCAAAATTCAAACATCCCCTGAGAGGAGATGTTTTAATTTTATAATAAAAATGGATGTATGTTGCTTGGTTTATGTTCAGTTGACTTCAGTAACAACACAAAACTGAACAGACTGCAATGTAATAATACTTATTAATAGTTTTAGGGTATATAATATTTAATGTTATATTTGACCAAATATATATAAGGTATTATTATAAACGATGTATAATGAATGTATGATAAAGTACAATTTATTTTTTCCCCTTTTCTACTTTTCATATACTGCAAAAAATCTTAATCTGGTCTCTGTCTCTCCACTCCTGGTCTCAGTCTTGACTTGGACTCGACTACTGCAAAGTCTTGGTCTTGACTCGAACTTGATGTACCCAGGTCTTGACCACAACACTAAAGAATGGCTAAAATGCTGTAGACTGAATAGGCAGGTATATGTAAACACATTGAAAAGAAAGAATCCAAAATGGGCAGTTTACATAGATGGACTGTATGGACTGGACACTGAAAGAAAACTTTAACAATGTTTACATACTACATCAAACTATTTTATTTAAAAAAATCCAAGATCCCTTTAAAGTTTGGGACTGGTGGAAAGGCTACAGTTATTATACAATAGGCTTGTTATGAATCTTTGTAAGAATTACATCTATGCTGCATTTCTGGTTTTTGCACCAAATTAATTTCATTCACACAGTGGCCAGAGATGAGAACATCTCCGCAAAGCAGCACTGACCTCCTTTCCCTTGCTCTTTTGAAGCCCCTTTCATGGCGGAAGCCAAGAATGCTGGGGGAAATGAGTGAGGGGCTGTGGAAAATCTTGGGCTTCCTCCATTCCTTTCACAATTCTGCATAGGAGGGAGAGCTCCAAGTCTCTCTTTTTCTTTTAAGCCGATCCCAAAATCTGCTGCTTTAGCCGTGTTGCCAGTGTTACAGAAGCTCCAGTACATCTTTCAGAAAGCAGTGGACTTCCACAGCACAAATGATACCTGTCTCTCTCACTCTCTCTCCCTCTCTTTCTGCCTATCTCTCTCTGTCTCTCTCTCTCTCTAATCAGAAATTCAGGGGGTGGTGGAAGCTTACCAGAACTGCCTGCCCAAGATTCAGCTCTATGGCCCCACTAATGTGGCCCCCATTATCAACAGAATAGCCAAGCAGGCAGCTGGGAAGGAGCCCATCAAAGACGCCTCAGTGAGTGTGTCCTCCTTACTGGCACAGCCTGTTCCTATTTCACCACACTGCAATTTCCATTTTAGAAGCTTGCCAATGTTTTCAGTTTTCACCTTTTCGAATATAGTTCAATGACAGAGTGATTGCATATAAGTGTTTGCATATAAATCGCTTCGCTTCAGGGAACAACTTTAGTAATTAAGCATTGCAAAAATCAATTTGGGATTCCATTAAATCATCTTATATTACAAGACCGTACATGCTTTGAGGTCAACAGTGTGGCCTCGGGCTTTTCACAAAACCCCAAATTGTACACACGGCCCACGACGGGCTCTGTTTTCAAGCATTTTGTCCTTGCAGTGATCTTCATTCATTATTCAATCTTCAGGATCACCCCCTCACCATAAGTGATCACATTTCAGTACATGAGCTCTAACTGTGGAGAATTCAAACTGCAGACTTTGCATGTTCAATCCCGGCTGGACCCCCCAGGGATATTTAGGCCAGTAATCTATCCAGCACCTCTACTTTTAGCCCATTGACTGGCAGCTTGCTGTGCTTGTAGCCTGTGGTTGAATTGTAAAAAAAAAGTCAAGGAGAATGATGGGTTCAAAAGGACAGGGGGAGTGGAGAGTGTTCTGAACTGTAGCAGTGTTTACCTTTTTACCTTTTTGGACAGGAAAAATAGCCTTTTCAGATATTATTCATCTTACGATGTGGTTAGATTTCTTTTAAATGAAGATCTACAAATTTTATTGCTAGTGTTCGCATCTTTAAATCTGAAGACTGAGCAACAGCAGGTGCTGCACCAAACGCTCCAGTGCATTACCAATGAAAAGTGCACAGTTCTACATAATCGTCTCCACATTTCACGTTCGTACATCTGAGGCAACTTGGTGTGTAAATCTTAAATATGGATGGAATTTAAATATGAACAAAACAGCAATCCAAAGGAGCATGACAGTTTTCCAGGAGGGATGATTTTTTGTCACTTTTTTGGACCCAGGGAATTGCCTCATCCTGCAGCCCCTTTGAATAAAGCCCTGCTTCTACTGAGGGGTGCAAAAAGTAGAGAGAAATCATACTTAAGTGAAAGTACTTTGAGTTAAAAGTATCAAAGTATGGTGCTAAACATAAACTTGAGTCAAAGTCAAAACATACTAAGGAACATACATACATTTAAACATACTAATGTATGTAAGAGTGTATAAAAGTGAATAGAAAGTAAATGTTTTAACAAATAAATGCTGTGCAGTGACCAATCAGTGGTACTAGTCTTTGCATACAAGACGAATTAGCATAACTGTGGACAGTTTCATTTGGCTGAAAGATTAATCGTTTTTATATTGAAATCACAATTTAAGAGTGCAATTTTCAAAACACAAAAGCTCTTAAGTTTTAAGAGGGAAATTCAATGCAATAACACAGATTTGTAGATTGCCTGTAGAGTTAGACCAATCAGAGGCAACCAAACCCCCACGTGTTGTGACATCACAACCACAACTTACTGGCTTTCTGACTCACTACATTAAGGTGTCAAGCCTTAAGCCAGAAAAAGTAAAGTGGTCTTCTTGGACAAAAAAACAGGTCTGAGCCTCAATTTATAGAAAATAATCAAAATTTAAATTGCAGTCGCAGGTTTAGTCAGAAAAATCGCAATTTGATACTCTCTCCAAATCGTTCAGCCCTAGTTGGATGTTTTAATGATGTGCAGTATTGACTAGCAAGACAAAAAGGGGAAACTCTCCTTGTCTGAGATTTGTAATGAGTACTTTGAAGGTCTAAAGTAAACCGTAAGGAGTAAAGTGTATGTTTTTCTCTTAGAAATGTAACTGAGTAAAAGTACAAGTATTTCATTTCAGTCCGAATATTCCTAAATAATACACAAGTATGTTAAAGTACAATTACTCAAGTATTTTCCACCCCTGCTTGTACCCAGAGTAATAAGGCCCTTTTCCTCTCCTAGCGATATCACATCCTGCTGATCCTCACGGACGGGGTAGTGACGGACATGGCGGACACGCGAGAGGCCATCGTACGGGCTTCTTACCAGCCCCTGTCCATCATCATTGTGGGGGTGGGCAACGCCGACTTTACCGACATGCAAATCCTGGATGGAGACGACGGGGTCCTGCGTTCTCCCAAAGGAGAACCCGTCCTGAGGGACATTGTGCAGTTTGTGCCCTTCAGAGACTTCAAAACGGTGAGTCCATGTCCACAGTCCTCACTTGATCCCCAGCACTCACTGGAGATGGACACAAATTGCAGCCCTTCTGTAGTTTTGACGCATGAGCCCTCCAAGCGTGTCCTCCGATGCGCTTCTGAAACAGCTTTACCCTCAAGTGGGGCCGCGTCGAATCAGGCAGGCAGCCAGGGAGGCAGGCAGAGCCATGCCAGTGCTGCAGATGGGCCGAAAAGGCTCATGGAACTCCACAGCTTTTTCCAGAAGAAGCTATTTTACCCCCTCTGTTGTGCGCAGCCAAAAACAATCCGTTAATTCCTGAGTTGTGAGAATGTAGACTGCTTAAATGCTTCCCAACCATTATGCTGCTTCTCATTATACACTTGTCGCTTGTCTGCTCTTTTTGGCTCTCGTCCAGACAAATTCAAATCATAAATTTATTCTTCCCTATTTTGTTTGTTTTACTAACACAATTTGCTATGGATTTGCTTGGTCTGTGTTTTTCTCTAATACTGATATTAACGTTTTGTGTGCTCATCATGACTCTCTTGTTTTCTTGAAACAGCTTCTAAGTCATCTTTTCAGTCAAATTCAAATCACACATTTTTGTTTGTTTTACTAAAACAATATTTACTAAAACAACAGCTTTGGATTTGCTTGCTTTATGCATCCCCCCCCCCCAAAATAATAATACTAACACACTCTCTGTACTCCTGTGTAGTTACCTCGAAATGGCACTGGTGGCTATACTTTAGGAAAAAGTCTGTAACTTGTTAAGCTCCATGCTCAAGCAGTTGTCATGCAAAGTGCCTCATGTTGGTTAGAGCAGCCTATCAAATACGTAAAAAGGAAGCAGTGATAATATTGCCAGAGATGCAGAACCACATTGTTGCCTCAGACTTGCTATTCGTGTTAGATGCAGCGCGGCGTACATTCAGACCAGTGCAACGAAAATAGATTTAGGTGACGTTAGCTGGCATGAAACCACTAGATTAACGTCTTTAACTCAAGGAGATAATGAGAGATCAGTTTAAATTTTTTTTGTTTTGTTTTAACTGGTAAAAATCTCATCCGACTGGCCTTCGACAGAACGGCTGCCTCTTAATTTTCATCTACAGGTTGAGGAATTGAGGGATATAAAACTGTTATGATGACCTTTTCACACAAAGCTGAAGTAGCTTGTTTGAATTTTCTTGATCTCGAACAAGAATTTAGTGAATAGGATCGAATCCAGCCTTGTCCTTTTCACTGACACTAACTTACTGTGAACAACAATATATGGTAAATACTGGTGTCATTCTTTCCAAATCTAAATACATAGAATACAAAAGGCTCTCAGTAACATTATTTCTATCCCTCTTGCTCATTCACACTCTCACACTCACAAGTGAGGTTAAACTAGTTGGGTTGTCAGATAGTTAGCTAATGTCAGTGTTAGCTTTGCCTCTTTTCTTTACCTCACTTAAACCCAAAGTTAACTAAAGTTAGCTAACTAGAGTTAAGCAACCAAGTAAAGTTATACTGACAATAATTTGCCACAAATTCTTATTGTAGGTGGATATTAATTCTGTTTAACACTGTTTCGCTCTGTATGTTATAGATTTTAAATAAGGTCTAATGTTTATTTTAGTGAGCTTAGCCAAAATCCTGTCCTTAGTTTGGCTATTGATTACTTTACAGTGCATTAACAGAGCATTAATATGACTGGATTACAGCGTATCAGGTCTGATATGATTGGCTGAACGTTACGTTAGTCAATCTCTGGTAGTACAGCAGAGGCAGCGCTGCATAAGAGCATCAGCAACAGCGCCTTCCTCAGGTTGCACCCTGCTATTACAGTATATTGTGAATTAGAATAAACTATAGACAATTTGGATTAGTACATTTACTTAGGAAGGGGGGGCTAAATAACATTTAGGGTGGGCTTTAAAATGAAGACAAGTAAAATGAAAATCTTTCTATACCACTATTTAAATGCAACCATATTTGAGATATTGACCATGTTAAGGCCTTTGTACAAAAGGTTTTTTTGAGTCTTATCCATCCATTGAAGCGTGTGGTCAGATGACTCTCTGGTGGATTTGATCTACTCATCAGGGTTTTGCACAAGCTTGGGGAGCCCATTGTGGAGTACAAATTCTGAAATTCATGTAAATATTTCAAAGGTTTCACTTTTCACTCAAATGATGATGATAATATGAATTTTAATGACAAATTTTGCAACAAATTAGAAGTGAATGCCAAATAGAAGCACTTTTATTAGTGGTCTCAGACGTTTGGACCCCACTGTATATTCCTATGCATTCATTTGCTGGTAATTCATGGCAAAAATCTGTGTAATTTCTGCTTTGTCGGATTATTTACTTTGAATGTAAAAATAGGTGCAATTATGTCATTTTAAGATTACTTAACAAGAAGAGTAAATTAAAGGCATTTCATCCCTCTGCATAAACTTACTATTTTTTTTTCAGGCTTCTCCTGCTGCCCTGGCGAAGTGCGTTCTTGCAGAGGTGCCCAAACAGGTAGTGGAGTACTTCAGTCACAAGGCCATTTCACCAATGAGTCCTGTGTTGGATTCTACTCCAAACTCCATCGCCAACACCCCAGATTAACATTTCCCTCCTGAGCCTTGACCTCCAATGGGACCCTGTGCACCTCCTTCCAGTACTGGACCAGTGAAAGCATGGTCAGAGGAGGGCCGCCACGGAGGAAAACCACCACCAACACCACAAAAAAACTATATTGTTGTGCCGATTGCCATTTTCCCCTGTTCGTAAATAAGGTGTTTATACAGACTGAAAGGACGGGTTTGAAGGCTGAATTTTTGCCCTGGGTCTGGCGTTGTGCCTGCTTGAGCCTTTTCCCCTCCGCCTGCTGTACAGAGCCATTGCATGAGGACATTTAGGCCAGTAATCTGCACACGCCTCGCACCAGAGTCCTAGACCTTTGACTGCCGCTGGCTCTCTACTACTGCTCCACAAAGGCCACCTCTGCATTTCTTTTTAAATCCTATGCCTTTCAGGACTCTTTCAGGCTTCGCCCAGCTTGCCCTGCTGTGCTCATCTTCTCTTGCCCTGTTAACCTGAGCTCCAGGCTTTTTGCTGGCCTTTCATCATCCTGCTTTTGGCAGCTACTTACAGGATTATGTGTGAAGAGAATGGACGGTCATTACCCAAATTTACCTAAGAACATGTGAAGCAAAATCGTCTTAAGAGGATCCGTAATGTGATGTGTAGATGTGTCTCACAGATAATAGCATGCTCATTAGTTCAGAAAAGATCCAATCTGCCTGCACTGGACCGGCATATTTCGTGAATCTGAAACAAGCAGATTCCTTTCTGCACTTCTGTTGTACAGTCACATTGTGTTTGTGTTCAGCTTGAAGTTCTAGACATCTCACAGGAGCATCCCTGACGGTTTACCAAACCAAACAGTCTGTGTGGAAACCTTTCTCTGTGAATAAACCGTTTTCTCCCATTTAGCCTCAAACAGAATAGACTTCAGATCCTTATGAAAATGTAGAATCAAGCCCAGTGTATCGTTATTCTGCCTGAATTCTGAACTGTGTAACTAAGTTGATTGTTTCAGTTGCTGGCTAATGTACTCTATGCATGATAATAAGTGACCTCAAAGAGGCGGGGGGTGTGGGGGGGCACTGCCAAATTATCATTCCTTACAAAGATATGCAGGCACACAGGCAACTATTTCAATTACATGAAGAAAACATTGGGAATTCAACATTGGGAATTCAAGCTCAACCTAAATTGGAATAGATGTCCAAAAATTAGTTTTTAATTTTTTTAACTGGTACACTTTCACTGTAAATGTCCAATATTACACTAATACATGTACACATACTTATGTGCTATTAAGGGAATATTCCAGTATTTTGCTTCAGCACCAGCCCATCAACTTCTACTGTAAATGTGTTGTATGTTAATGAGTTGTCAGGACTTACTGAGTGTAGGGAAATGTTGAAATTAATGTCCCTGTATACTACAGGTGCGGAAAAGAGAGATTATGTTAAAAATATGCTGGTGTATTCTTCTCTTGGCATGCATTCATTTAGAAATGACTCAGACAAGCCTGATTGTAAAAGAAAGGACAGAATGCCTCGTTGGCCAGTAGGTACAATAGCTAGCTGCTTAGCAGTCTTGCGGAGCAAAATGTGATCTGATAACGACATGGTGATTCAAAAAGATTAATCCAATTTCAAAATTATTTATTTCACTTGTAAATCATTACAGAACAATGCAGTAAACTGTAAATGGTTTAAATGAGCATAAAGTTTATTCTGTAATTTTACTAGTGCTCAATATAAACCTTGTCCAGCTGTGTGTACAACATCAACGCCACAGTGAAATTCATCCCATACTGGATTGAGCGTGTCGGGTGTCGCTGCACTCACGACTCTTTCAATGCGATTTCTGAGATCATCCAGTGTTGTGGAACCAACAATGAACACTCTGAGCTGTTGGAGCTTCATTGCCCACAAAAATCACACTGCACAGTTATGACGGATTCACTCTTATTGAAATGGAGAACGCAGAACGTTTTCTGCTCAGGGGTCGCATCTCCTCTCAGACTGAAGGGAGCCATCTTCCACTGACAGTCAGAAACTCTATGACCCCCTCTTTCAATTGGATTGTGATTGGTTCCCAGGCGCCTCACTGTTGTAAATATATGGCACTTTGAAATCAAACAAATCTTTTTGAATCACCCTGTATATCTGGGGACAACGTAAAATCTGCCACAAACATGGTTTCAAAATTTCTCTAGGCCGTGTTCTTACGAATGTCTGGAGTACAACAGATAACACAAGCAAAATAAGCTAGCTAGCAAAACTCTTGTTAGCTAACAGAACTGTTTTCTTTTGCAAAAGGTAATGTTTATTTTTACTGCATGTAATATGTTCTCCGCACACATGACACACATCTACATGCTCTTTTGAAGTTTTTTGGTGTGACTTTTCAGTCATGCTAACTTATGTTACATCCATGGACTAACGATAGGCTTGTTGTCTGTTGGACCCACTTAGAGCTTCACCTTCACAAAGTGTTTGACTGGTTTAGAAATGTCATACTCAGTTTGTTCCCACCTAATAAGTGTACATTCCCCCACATTTAGTCCAGATTTCTCCTGGTTGTCCCCAGATGTTCTTATGAAGTTACCACTGGCCCTGCAAGACTAGCTGCTTCGATTTCCAACCTGATGCAAATGTGATGTTTGGAAAATGGCAGTGACACATATCAACTAACATGGCTAAGAATGAGATTTAGCTGGATAAAAGAAAGGAACCACCTTGTCTTTTCAAAGACTTGAAATAAAGTTTCACTTGTGTTTAAGGCGATATTACAGTATAGCAGAACAATGCAAAGGAAATGCATGGCTCGATTTAAAGAAAATCATGTATACAAACGTGGGATTTGAATGCATTCAGTAACTGAAAAGCTAATCAAGTCCTTGTTCATAGGAACCAGCCAAGCAGTGTGTCTGACATCACATGATTGAGCTTTATCAGCAAATGAGCCAGAGCAGCCCTGGTATGAGTAATCATGTTGGAGACACATCTCATGGTGCGACGGCATGTTAGACGTAAAAATACGTATGAATCCTGCTTGGTAGAATTTGCCTGTAAAGAAAATTAATCAGAACCATTTTTTTGATTTTATTAGATGATTTCCTACCTTGGCTGTGCTTTATCGTTGAGCATAATCATACAATAATCATGCTACGTGATGATTATCATCCTACACTGGTGGTGCAGATGGCCCCACCGTCATATCTTTAGAAAACAGACTTGCTTTTATACATGCAGCATAAAGCGGTAAAATGCTTTACGGATGGGCCTCAGCCTTGCCTGGAGCTGCCTTAAACTTGCTCTTCGAATGATGCAATGCCATGTATTTCATCCGTGCAGCACCAACAGCGGCACGCCACTCGAAGCCATCCTGCTCCACATATGACCGCAAATGAGCATAAACTCCAGCTTACCCCTCGCTCCCCCACAGCGCTCCACGCTGCTTTGAAGAGCAGCGTGTTCGTGTCCATCTGGCAGGAGAGATAGATTTATAACAGCACATATGCGATCAGATGAATGTAGATGGCAGGACGGCTTTGATCTCCACATGAAGGCTTGGTTCTTATTAAGACAATGCGTCCGGAAATGTTGCTATCGCTGACTGGCCTTCTCCCTCCAAATGAAGTGCAGTGAGGGGTCTGCTGTGCCGGACGTTCCAACTGCATCTCTTGTAGCGAACGGTGGAGTAACTGAAATTTGAATGGAAGTACCATGCTTGAAAGCCCTCCTCCATCCAATCCCCACCACCACCCCATCTCCTCCTTGTTCCCCGGCTCAACCACAGTTATATAATAGAGGGTGTCTGGCCTCCTAGCTCCTCACAGAAGCTGCCCAGAACTTCAGCCCAGGTTCTCAGAGTTCTCTCCCCTTCCCTCAGTCGTCTTCCCGCATACTACCACCGTACGTTGAAGGCACAGTCCAAACTCGCAAATTGCTTTACGATAACAGGTCATTTATTTGTCTACCTCTGTTTATTTCTTTATCCATTTATGCATTATGTTCTGGGCTGCATGGCCACTGTGTTGTAATTACTTTGTGTCACTATTTGCCGCTGCCCTTTTTTCCCAGAGGCAGTGGCCCTCGTTCTCCATAAATAATCTTATGCACGCACGCACATCCTGACAGTGGGATGGACTGTACGAGGGACTGCACGACTTTCCTTTTAATATCTCTCCAGAATCTGGACCAGGAGTGGGGCCTCCAGACCTCACCCTCAGGTCTCTGCATGCCAGTTAGCGGAGCAGGGTATATATACTGAGGAAGCACGTCACAGAGGTGTGAGTCATGCCGCCAGCATATGAAGACAGCCAACACATTTAGGACAAACTCAGCTCTGGTCCACCACAGGACCGAACACTCCGCAGAAATGAAAAAGACTTTCATTGTATTTCTTTGTATGCTTACTGCTCCTGCCCATCCTTTTATTGGATTACGGCGAGCTGGGAAATCATTTTACCAGTTAGCCGTATTTTCTGTCCTCTGCTGCTGGAGGAGGAGAGTTCTGAGGAGGCTATAGTGAGCCTCGCAGGATCACTGATGGTATCTCCTTTTTTGAACGCTGTAATTTACTGCATGCATTACTCTGTGTTGAAATGTACTGTTTGTTCCTTTTGAGTATTACGTGGTGCGAGAGGAGTCCGTCTTCGCCTCCTGCATTCCTGATCTTGTAGTGTGTGCTCCTAATCCTGCATCAAGGCCAATAAAAACCTCTCAGTGAAATAACTGTACAATAGTGTTCATTGTGGTGCATGCGTGCATGTGTGCGGAGGCTGGGGAGCGGTGATGGCTGATTTACTACAAACAGACTTATGAACTGAGGTTTCTATGTGTGGGTACGCTAAAGGCCAAAATTATGGAAGTAAAAATGGAATTAAATACAGTTTCTCAATCTCCTCCTCATCTTTATCTAACGTCTATAGAAGTCCACCACCTTTTGGTTTATCAAAAATATAATTAACTTGTACGTATAAATAATATAATCACAAAGTAATGACATATTCTCTCATAGTTCTGACTTATCTTAGAGTAGTGACTTGTTTCTCAATATATTGACTAATTTTCTCAAAATATTGACTTATTGTCTCAGTGTTGACTTAATATCTCAGAATACTGATTTATTGTCTCAAAGTATTGACTTAATATCTCAGAATACTGTCTTATTGTCTCAAAGTGTTGACTTAATATCTCAGAATAGTGACATCATAAACTTATTTTCTCAAAGTGTTGACTTAATATCTCAGAATACTGACTTGTTTCCCAACATATTGACTTATTTTCTCAAAATATTGACTTATTGTCTCAGTGTTGACTTAATATCTCATCATATTGACTTATTGTCTCTAAAATGTTGACTTAATATCTCAGAATAGTGACATCATAGATTTATTTTCTCAAAATATTGACATTTTCCCAGAATATTGACTTATTGTCTCAAAGTGTTGACATAACATCTCAGAATAGTGACTGATTTCCCAAAATACTGCTTATTTTCT